AAATCTCAACCTCTTAAATTATATAAGCTATAAAAAATGTTCAGTGTCAAAATGTCTTCTCAGTTCACAGTCACAGGAATCCATAAGATTTGAACCTCCTGTACAAGCCTAGCTTTCCTAGGTCTCTTCCTTGTGCTGTGTTCCTGCACTCCATGCAACTCACTGCAGGAGTCAACTCGGTTTTCCAGGTAGGAAAATAAATTCCTCTAGACAAGCACTCCAGGCATCTAAGGAAGAACCTCTTGTTCGGCTTGGGTTGCAGAGTTTAAGGCAAGTGCTGATGCTAACGCTGGCTGACACCACTCCTTGCTCATGTGATCCATTTGCTGAGACCTGGCCCTCGGTCTACGTGCTGCCACGTTATCTGCCTCTGATACACAATGACTCGAAGCTAATTTTGGTCTTTAGGAGCTGACACATTAAATGTTTTATTAATATTAGTAACTGCATTTTAAAAAATGTGTCAGAACTCTATTGTCCTCCTGCTATCTCAAAAGGCAAGAAAAACCATCAGCTTAAGCCCGGCCACCCAGATTACAGGTTGACCCACGCGATTGCTTTAAATTAATTCCAAAATGCATTGTTCTTTGGCTCCCTCCAGGCTGTACCAAGTGTGTGTAGTGCAGACCCTGCCCCAGTGCTCTCCAAGATCCTCTCACAATTTTTTAGCCTATGCTGAGCTCCACACTGCTGGCACCTATATTACTACTGGTATCTAAGGTAGCTCAATTTCCCAACTTGTTAGGTGACATGGCTGGCAGCTGTGGCTTTGGAGTGGGCATATGCTAAGATCAGTGAGAAACTGCACCTAAATTGTTCTTTTCGGTTGTTAAAAAAAAGTCTCAACAAGAAATAGCAAGGTAACATTGCCTTAGAAGCGTTACCAAGACAGGTATCTTTTATGGTCCTACAAACTCCATAAACCACAATGACTATCCAAACATGCTAAAGAAAAATACAAGTGAAAATCAGTATTGCTTTGTGCCAAACGACCTGCAAAAAGAAAGGAGAACAAACATTTCACACCTACAAGCCCTGAATTTGTGTTCTTCCCCTCCCTTCGGCAATGCTGAGAAGTAACTGTGGCCCCTGCCCTGCCCTGCCACTCCTGCTCCTCACAGGCCCAACAGAGACCCTGTCCATGGGGCTCACACTGTGCTTTGCCTGCACGTCCTCCAATGCACAGACCAAAAACCCTGTTTTAGTCCAACTACAAAGCTAGTAAATTCTGTATCCTGCCAAGCACCTCAACCTTAAAATGAGAATCTCTTACTACAGCCTCTTATTTATGTTGTGTCAAGTATGGCACCATCATTGAAGTATTTTCTTTGTGATTTACACTTCAAGTGACTAATCACTGCAATCATTCCTGGATACACAGCCTGAATTGTGGTTACATAACTTATATTCAGAGGCTATTTGGCATCTTCTGTGATTACATTTTGACAATGCAACTGTAGCTTCCACAGTTATCCCTTTCCTAAGGCAGAAATGCACAGCAGATGTCAAAAATTCTGGATATATTGAAAATCCTCTTATGCAAAGGTAATCTTGAAGGGTTTCCTTTACTGCTATGTCCCTCTCCTTTTGTCCCTCGAGCTTTCTGTATGTGCACAACGTGCTTAACAAATTCTGTGTGGTTCCGGCAGCTAGGCTGCAGTTTAATCATACAACATCCTCCTTTCTGTCCCCTCAGCAAGACCATCCATTTCCTACCTCAGTTAAACACACATATTTCTTTGCAGGCTAGCTCACATGTAGCAATACTTGAACCTAATCCAACCCGCTAAAAGCAGGTTGCAGCATCTGACCTCATTCCCAGTTCAGTGCACAATTTAACTGCACTGCAGAGCTTGCAAGTCAACCCTCAGTCTATTGCAATAGAGTATTTCTAAGGAGGAACCTTTAGGATGCCCTTTGCCTCTTTCTGCCTCTTTGTCAACAGACTCCCCCACTCTGGTACAAACACCTTTGTCTCTCACCAGAAGCAGAGGAAAAGACTCCTTAGATGAAGAGCTGTTGCATTGTTCCCTGACATCCAGGACACGCCACTCCTGACAGGTCATCCATTACAATAACATCACACATGAAACTTAATCGATGACCCAGCTCCCCTGCATCCCATCCTACCTAACACTGTTGACATCGCTCCGACATCTAACGACTTACCCTTCTAAAACAAGGGCACCTTCTTGGACTCTCCATTAATAAGAAGGAAAAAAAAAAACACACACGCACAGGCACACAGACTGATTAATGAACAATAGTGTTCTGGTACAAAATCATATACTCATCCCACGCCAAGAGAGATATATGGAGCATGGCGTAGTAAAGGACTAAAGCTTGTCTAATGGGACTGCACAAACCTGTGACATCAAGGGTAACCGTTCTAGGCTGCTTGCCATAGTGGAAGCTGAACTTGGACCACGGCTTGGGCACCGCTAGCAGGACCACACTGCAACTCACCTGACACTAACTGCAATATCTACCGCAGGGACCGAACATTTTGGAGCTCTGAAGCCCAGTCAATTCACCACTGTGCCAAACCCAGCACAGCAGAACCACTTTCTTACCTGGATTCTGGTTATAAAAAGGCCCTCCGTTCATCTGGTTCTGAAGGCTCGTCTGTGACGTGATGGAAGGAGGACGCCGATATGGCAAAGAACCCCCTATTGTCGGGGGCGTGTGGCGAGACGCAGGCCGGTTCATGCTGTAGAACTGGACTGGGTGGCCTAGGTTGGAGAGAGAGCTGTTAGCACAGAGGAGAACAAAGCCTGGCTTTTTATATCTATGTTCAAGATCTGAAGGCCTGAAAAGCTTTTTTATTTTAATAAATAAAAAAGAAAGGAAGTTGGCATCCTAGGGAGCATTCAAGCCAGTTCAGCTGCTAGACTGGCAGAACACTCAATATTTCAATAGCAACACAGAAAATAACTCGCCCAACTGCCTATGCTCTGTGTTGCTAACAAAAGTCAGTATAAAAATGCAAAAGCTACCAAATGATAGAAAATCATGTCTAGTTAAATTATTTTTATAATGTATTGCAATAACTTTTTGCATACTTATAACCCTGCAAAAAATGAAACACTCCACAGTTCAGCAATTAAGCAACCAAAGTATGCACAAACTAACTGCGTGTCATGTGTCATCTTTAAGATTGAAAGATGTTAACTGCTGCAAAGAAACGGCACAACAAAACTATCTCAGTGCTCTCCAGGAAACATGCACAGAATCATCCGGGAAAAGGAGAACGTTAGAAACTGCCCGAAGGACAGAATAAATGAAACCACAGAAATCCTCTCTGATGGAGCTATCAAATGAAACAACGCCTTAGTTTCCTTCCCATTCTAATCAACTTGTATATCAAGATAATTGATTCTGAAACTAGCTACACAGTACATCTTTTTTCACATAACACTTAAACAAAAAATAGCTAACTTTGCACCTCATGCACCAGAACACAGCATTAGCCATGAAACAAGACATGAAGCTATCATCTTGCTCATGCGAAGTTCTGCAGCTCGCATGCTGTATCTAGAAGTATGCAGTAAACTGGATTTTATACACCAGCTTGGATTATTCCCCTCCCTAACGATGCTGCCTCCACTATATGGGCTATAGGGAAATTTCATAGTTTGCAAAAAGGGGTGGTTATTGCGGTTGTGGAAGTAAACAGGTAAAAATAACACACAAGTGAGTTATTTTCTTGAATGTCTGCATTGTTCTCTTCTCAGACACTGTGGCAGGGGGTGCTCCACTATGTTTGATTGCTTTGCAAAACTTCATGCTAGACCTATAAAGAAGATGCAGACAGCTAGCTGTGTTATGTGCTTTTAAGAGCAAATGCATCAACTGGAGTTCATGTTCCTCCTACTTTGAACAGCAATATAAGTTTTGAATGATGCATCTTCTACAGATCAATGAAAACCGTAACCCAACAATCTGCCTAGTACATCTGCTTTTTCGCATTTTTTCCTCCTGAGCCTTTCCATTGCATCTCCCTATAAATTTAAGGTGTTGCAGAAATTGGTGGCAAATGGAGAAATGGGGAGAAAGAATGAAAATGGTAAGAGATGCCTAACGAGCCATAACTGCAACCCCATAAAATGTAAACCTTTTAGTCTGCTCATGCTTTTTATTTCAAAGAAGCCATGCAAGCACTTCACTAATAAAAGGAGGAAACAAAAGATCCTAAAAATAACAAAAAACTTGAAATTTCTCTAACCAAATTGTAAATATGAATCTATACTCATTAAAATAATTATTTTGCTTGATTTTGATTGTCAGGAGTATCAAGAGGGCAGAAGCAATATGACTCAAGAACTGAGATATTCAGAGTGCATCAAAAACTTAAAACTGTTTGAGATCCCACCTGCAAATCCTCATCTTCTAAACACCAAAGAACCAAAATTCATCACAGTTCGGAAGCTTCTATTCACAGACATAAGATTCAAAAGTATTTTCTAGCTTTGTATGTGTCAGTGCACCTTGAAATAAATACCACTTCAGGAATGTTTCCAGCACCTGATGAAATGCTTAGGAGAGGTCCACATTATTAAACTCACAAACCAATTCACAACCCTGCAGTAAGACTCCACTGTCATGAAAAGGAAGGAAGCACATCAATTTGACTAAGGTGGATCTTTACAATGCAATGTAACATCAAATCAAAAGCTAATGCAGAACTGTGTTACAACTAGCAAGCACCAATGCTGCAACACTAGCAACTGAGGAAATGAAACAGGGTGATTTCATTGGCATTAATAAACCAAGGTGAAATATACAGTGTAAAAACCACCTGGCAAAGTAGTTTAGTAAAATTCAGAAAAATAAATACCTGTACTTCCTTGACTCTGAGCACACAAAACCTGCCCTTTTTACAGATTGTTGAAAAGTGACTTACCATTCCAAAGCATCAGAGAGGAAAGTTGTATATATTACACTTTGCTACAAGCCCCTTCTTTAATTCCGTAACTGGAAGAGACTAATGAGATCCAGAACTACCACTGCCTTTTTCCCCAAGAAATATTTTTTTCCTTTGAGACTCTCTGCATCCAAGAGGCAACAGATACTGTTTTTTATGACACCAGCATACCTTGAATTGTCTGCTATAACCCACAGCTTATAGCTGGATATTAACATACATTTTCTGCCTATATTTACAGACATCACTGCTTCTGAAGGAGCTCTGCAGAGCCTTGGACTGGGATCACACCGGGGTCCACCTGCCCCGGGCCTGGAGCTGACACTCACCTGTGGAAGGTGTGGAAGAAGCAGCAGGGGGAGTTGGAGAGGTGAAGCCATCAGCAAGGGGCTGGGCTCCTGCAGCAGCAGCAGCATCTGGGGCAGCCGAGGAAGGGGCAGGGGCAGGAGGGGCAGGAGCAGAGGTAGCAGGAAGGGGAGAGGTGCCAGCCGAGCCAGCAGGGGCTAAGTGAAGAGAGGAGGAAGAGGTGGAGTTAATAAGGACATCCTGTTAGCAAGGATTGGAGAAAGCTTTTGGCTACTCAGTGTTAGCTACTTATTAGATGCATAATATTTGAGAATATGGAAGGAGAGGAAAGAAAAAGGAAGCTATTAAAGACAGGCTCATTCCTATGTAGACAGTAAATGAGGGTCAAGCAAATCTGCTTATTTCCAGGTCTGGAGGGCTCAGAGCTTTTCACTGAAAGCCATTGCTTCTGAAGGATGTCTTTACTCCTTGTTATTGACACTCCAATATGGAGCACAGCAGCCTTTAACTTTTGAACAAAATTAGAAAGCACACGGAAAAGGGAAGCCCAAAATTTCCAGTGCTGTTCGGAAGAATTATGTATTTCAGACCACAGTGCGTGCCAACTAAGCCCTTTTCTTCCCTAAAAGGGCTGACTGCCTGAGCAAAGGCAAAAGGAACACTAATATAATTTCCTATTTCTGTTTTGCTTGAGGTGGTTACATTTGAACAAATGCCTTTTCATAATCTTCAACAAGGCTTACATTAATGTACTAAAGATATACTCTGCCCCTTTTTTATTCTAATTGGCTAAAAGCAAACTTTTAGATATCTGCATAGACAGCCAGCCCCAGACTGTCTACTTTGCTAAAAGAACAAGGGAGAAGCTTTCCCCTCGTGCTGAAGCTGGTACTGCATCTTACAAGGTCACACGTAGACAACCAGGCAAAAAAAGCTGAGAAATCAGCACACATCAGAAATACTAGAGCACACCAGACACTCCCATGAAAGATAGTTTTTAATTCAAACTCACATTATCAATAGCAAGTAAATCCCAAGGCTTGCATGCTTCTAGAAAATGAACTTTGAGACCACTCTTTGGAGTTTACTCACCACTGTGTTCAGGAGACTTGCAAACAGGAAAGTTAAAGCAAGTTTCCACTTACCTGGATAGACACTGGGGGGAGACGGTGTGGGAACAGCAATGGGGACACCCACACTTCCACTTCCACTGTTCTCTCGACTGCTGCTCCGACTACTTGGGTGGCTTCCTCCACTGCTCCCACTGCTGCTAAAGAATCCAAAACAACCATGACATGAATCTGCTGCCCCGCCTGCAGAACACAAGTCCCCAACATAGAACCTCACTAATTCATAGCAGTAACAGGGAACAACTGAAAAGAAAGAGGAATGATATAAACCAGAAACTTTTATTTTTTCCCCACAAACTTCTCTTAATTTGGGTTACAGCACAACAGATTTTTCACCTACAGAACACGCCCAAGTATGAAACAGTTCAGGAACCTGCTTCCAAAGCATATCATTCCAACCTTGTTAAACCTACACTCAGCAAATGCAGACTTTCTTTTTCTGTAACTTATAAATTGCTGTCATATGCTTTCACTCCTGAATTCTGGAAATTTTAAAAGTGAGAATTAGGTTTTCTTTAGTAACATGTTAACTGCTGTAACTATAGCACTAAATCATAAACCAGCAAGCCTCTTTGTAGAGGTTCGGGAGGCTTTATGAAGGCACTGGGAGGCCCTAGGCGTGTGACACGAGGCATTCCCGTGCAGGAGGGCCCCAGTACCTGTACGTGCGGTTCCTCTGATTGACCGACGCTGTCCTGACGGGGCTCTGCTGCGAGGGAGCCATGTTGCGCGTCGGGCTAGGCACGTAGTCGTTCGGTACCACCGGAGGACGCACCGGCTCCAGCGTGCGGTACGGAGAGTGGCGCCTGCACGGGAAAAAGCCCATTTTGGAAGGGAATTCAGACATTCACTATTTAAAAGTTAACTACCTACTAATGAGTATCAGGAGCTGGAAAAACATTTTTATGTAAAGTTCACAATATCTCTTTGAGAGGATGTCAAAAATAAGGATGTTCTTCCTGTACTTCAGTCTCTATCTGCTTTTCCTGCACAACTCACTCATCCAAAGATTTAGTTAGGTATGATATATCCTTCTATCTTCACTAGATCAGAACAGCAAATAGGAACATTTGTATCTCATTTTAAAACTAAGAATACGTAATCACATCCCAACAAACAGCATCCTCCCAATTACAACACATTTCCTAAGGATTCTATCATCCAGAACTTGGGTCAAAGTCAAGTTTACGGGCCTTGTGGGAAGATATTTTTATCACATACTGCAAAAACAATCAATCAGCAGTACCACATACCAATTCAGATATCAATCCCTCTGGCTGTTTAGCACCACCTGTCAAAGTTACATAGTTAATGACCCTACAGGCAAAACAAGTAGTGCCTGCAATGACTGGAAAAAAAAAAAAAAAAAAAGGGGAGGGGGGGTTCCCGACCAGAAACGGCTGATGCTGCTCACCATCTTCTGCCAGAAATACTTCGTATAGACATGATCAGTGCAGAGGGTGCTCATGTAACGTCTCTTGGCCTCCAAATGAGACCAAAGCCCCTTTCCACATTCAGTAACTGCTTACCCAATAGTTCCTTTTCCTGACATTGGGGGACTTGGTGGCTTCTGGGTGGGCGGTGTTGTACGAGGCAGCCCACCCATCTTCATATTCTGCGTGCTGACCTGTTGGGAAGAATGGGGAGAAAAACGGCCTTCACTAAGCTCCACGTTGGGGCAGAAACACCGAGCTCCCTTTAGCAATTAGCTCTAAGTAGGGGAAGGTTGAAACAAAAAGAAAATTGAGAGGCCATGCATACTATATGCAACTTCCACTCCGCTAGGAGTCAAGAGTTGTGCTCAAAGGACTCTCTATTTTATAGGGTTTTCAAAAATTTTATATGTATATATATAGATATATATGCATAGAGAAAGAGAGTGAATTTGCCTTTAGGCTATCACACAAACATTACATTACTGAAAATACAGATACTGTCTCTCATTGCTAAAACTCCCATTTCACAAGGCAGTCACCTTTTAAGATAAAGGCATTTTTTGTTTGCACTACTGAATGGTAAAACTGCAAAACCACTATTTTGAGGACTTTTTAAAAAACGGTCGTGTTTATCTAATAGGCTACAATTTATTGTAATAAATATAAAAAAGGAGAAACCAATATAGCCTTCACATATGACCCATTAAAGCTTTAATGTTTTCACAATACTGTTTCAAGACTATTGAGCATATTGGCTTTTTATTTTTTAAGATATTATATATAGACATATATAAATAGAGAAAGCAATACAGAGAAAAATACAGATTCATAATTTTTTCCCATTGAATCTGTGGTAATTTAATATGTAAGACCTTTCAACAGTAAATGGATGGTGACAGAAATTATGAGCAGCAATGTTATATGACTGTTGCCCTACCCCTCTTTTTTAGGTTACAACACTAATAAATTAATTTTTATATAAGAGAATTGACCATAATTTCTAAATAAATAAATATTTTTAGAGACTCATCTGTATTCCTGATGGAATTATCAATGTAGGAATCACAGGCCACTATTACAGACGTAGGCACTTCGCTTACATGCTCCAGCTCGTGTATGCACCACTACAGGTGTTCCCATAAGTCCCTGTTAATTTACGTTGATTTATGAACGTCCAAACTTAGACACAGAGGTGCAGCAACCACAAAAGTGTGTTTACATCCCCTTTTCTGCTGTTCACGTCATGTTCTCTTTCACAATGCATCTTATTTCCAAAACAGAAGTTTTGTCTACGGTCCCTGTCTCACACATAAAAAAATGCAGTGAACAAGATATTAAGAATATTTGCAAACATCATTAAAGGCAAATTACTCCCTTATAGTTTGGATGTAAAACCCAGGCAATGTTTCTTTTTGTTAATTTATAAATAATGAGAACATTGTAAAGAGTGAAATATTTAGTAAACACACACATTGAAACTTCATTCCCTTGCTCTAACGCAAGAACAACCGTGCTATCACATTTTTAATTTCTGGAAAGAAAAGAAAAATCAGGCTTTGCAAATTTTTTTTTGTCAGTTTAAAACCTGACATTTGGATCTCAGTTTGCAAAAGTATTTCACAGTGGCAATTTAAGAAAACAAATCTTTCGAAAACAATTATGAAGTCCTTTAAGCCAACTCTAAGCAACAAGAAATCTAAGTTAATTCAAGTGAGGGACTAGGTAAGCACTGAACTACAACTACTTGAAGGAAAGAGGAAAAGTGTAAAATGAAAGTACTTTTTATTCTATACACGGAACATTAAGAAATAGTCCAAAGTTGATTTTTTTTAAAGTTGCAGCACCCCCTCTATTTCCTAGTTCATTAAAGATGTGTATTACCCACCCACCTATTTGAGTTGCCAAAGGAAAAAAAAAGAGAAAAAAAAAAAAGAAAAAATGCCTCCCATTAATTAAATACCTGCTGCCACATCCTTCCTTTGTACCCACATTTCCATCAGCTCATTACACCTCGTGGGCAGGGGTTTCACAGGTCTTTAGACGACAGCAAATTTAGACCAACCTGTGTGCTCCTGAATACCCCATATAGGTGTTTTAACTGCCTACACAATTGTTTCTTACCAGATGAGGTCACCATCAGCTATCACTTTACAGCAAATATAACCTCCCATGTATTTACCGCTGCTTTAAAGGAAAATATTCCTACTGACATAGAAAGGGGGGAAATTTTTAGAAAATGTGGCCAAAAAAAAAAAAATCCTTTGTTGGCCAAGAAGTCTCAGCCACAAAATAGTGGTTTTTAAGAAAAACTGAAAAGAAAGACAGGGAAATATACTAACAATAAACTTAATTTCAGGTCCTTTAAAATGACTTTTCAACTCTTAAATTTAGATATTGAAAGAGAAGTAACAAAAGCTTTCAAAATTGTCTTTAAATCTGACAGGATTGATAGCTTTAAAATAAACTGCTGCAAGCTAAACAGCTCTGTCCAAACAAACTCCCCTTTTGATTTATAGCCAAATAATCATAAAAAAGAAATGGAGAATATAGAGCTCTTCCAACAGTTCTGATCAACACGGACAGATGTGCTGGAAGAGTATCACACAGGCAGTAGGTTACCGACTGTCTCAAGACAAAACCAAAATAAAACTGAAAACTACAATAGTTCAACCTTCAGTTGAGATAGAAACGTATGCATGGCACTAAGCTGGGATTTGAAATTCTGCTGAGGAAAAAAAAAACTGCATAAACTACTTAAAACTAGAAGATCTCTGACAAATAACGTATCCTGGAGGGAAGACTTCCAGGATGCTCTGAGATCCAGCTCCATGGAAACATCCACAGAGTAAATGTTGAGAAATATGAAGCTGGAAGTGGTCACTGTGGCTCTTCCAGTACAAAAAAGGCCCTGTAAAGATTTCATCCATCAGCTTCTACTCTGAGCTAGACTCTAAGCCTCAGAAGCACCTGAGAACTTTAAAAAAGGATAGGGGATTGACTAGATCTCTTAGCAAGTAATCATTTAGAATTTCATTTTTAGTATAATTGAACCTTGTGTGTCCAATTTCTACTTCTAGTTTTTCTAAGATCCCAGTGATTAATCTTCTTGTGGTCCTACATATGACTGAGCCTCCTTCATATTTACATTTTTATATAAATCGAACAGATGGATCTTCTTCAGCACTTAACTTTATAAGAAATTTGTAATGAGAGAAAGTAGCTAAAACTGAGAAAATCTGCAGTTCATTCAATTCAATTCCTGGGAATGTTTTAATATGAAAAAACCATCCCCAAAACAGTGCAGAAATACATAGTTGGTCACCACATATGCTACAAGTATTTGCACCAATGCACTGCATATTTAGCCAGCACTAAGGCAGCTAACTGCACACACACTTAAACCCACGACATTTTTACTCTCCAACAGAACATCACATTGGCAGTTTAACTTACCAAGACAAGGCATTTGTTCCCAAAAAGCCTAAATGCAAGATATTCTAGACAGTCTGATCTCAAGAGAAACTATTTCTAAAGCCAAAAACCAGACTCAGCCCAGAAATATTTAAAAGGTGATTTACAGTCAAATCAGATTTTCTGAAACTCTCAGGATGTCCAGAGAACTGGCTTTTGCCCATAACCTGTATGAAAAAGCGTGTCCCATCAGTGGTGTTCCACGGCTTATATTCAGATATTCAAGCAGTTGCCCGTGCTTCTGGAGGAATTTTATACCTCATCCCACCAAAACCAACCTAAGTGAAAACTAACTTCCCATGCCTTGCTTCACCTTATTAACACTACAAACAGGGTGAATTCATCACCTGCCCATCTTCTGCTATCTCAAAGGAAATTCAGAAAAACAAGACTCTTCAGACACCCAAATAGTTACTCTGCAGGTCTAATCAAACCATATGCTCATCAGCAGACTAATATGTTGATATGGAAGTGAAATATCTAAATTTCAACCTGGTGCTGGCCAATGTCCACCAGTAAGAGTTTATTTTTTACCATGTTCACCTGTGTAAAGGAACAGAAGAACAAGATCTGGTAATGACAAAAAGGCTTAAACAATGTCATTTTCCATTGATTTGCTGAGAAGAGATGCTGCACATTCCTTCGACTTGGAGATGGGAGTTTTCTTCAAAGCTAAAACATACGTTTTAGCTTGAAACCACCCTGATATAACCGCAAGAGTTAGCCCTGCTACAATTATTTTGTTTAACATTGTTGCTGTTAGCCACAACTCTGTAGTTGAGAATAATAAATGTAGGCTAAATACAATTGATATGCAATGTATCCTAAGTGGAATCATCATCCACATGGAATTAGGGTTGGTAGCCATTTAGTTCTCCCTTTCAGGCTGAGAAGAGTGGCTACAGAGAGATTAGATGAACAACTCATCTCCAACGAGAGCTGCTGTGCTTCTGTGTGTGTGTTTGTGTGCATGTGTGTGTTTTTGATGAAATTAAGTAATGAAAACTGACAGTTTGTCAATTACATTTTTAAATCTGAGGAAAACCACTATCCAATAGGGACTGTACCAAGAATAAGGCAAGTTTAGCATTACGACTATCTATTTTGTAAGGATAGACAGAGACAACTAAGAGACAGGTATTCTAAAATAATAATTGAATCTCTATGTGTACACTGTATCTCACGCTCTCATGTAAATATCAATTTTCAGTGACATATGAGAAATCTACTCCCATTTATTAAACATCTACTATACAAACTTGTATGTAAGGCAAGTGTATGCGTACAACATATACTTAAATACCTCATTAAACATACCAGCTGGCCAGTTCCTCAGGGTTATCATTAGAATGTCATCTACAGTAGTAGCTGTTTAGCAGCATCTTTTCAGGAATTTGCCGGATTTTCTTTTCCCATTTTCCAGGCTTGGAAAATAGTTAACCATGAAAAAGATTTTGTATCAACTTGGAACTCTTTGCAATAAAAATTGTCATGCTGTATATCATTATTCTCTATTCTGAAAGATGTTTTCCTCTTTAAAACTGTTGCTGTCACCAAAACTTTCATTCCTACCTACCAAATGCAGCTGCATGTCAGGAACACAGTAATCACAATACTCAGCACAGGCTAGATTATCTACTCCATCTGTGAATGGACATGCTATGAACTCCAATACAGCATCATGTAACTTTCTTTAAGTGTCTGTCTTCATGATTTGATGCTTTTTGTTATTTCTGCAGCCACTAATGCTACCAAAAACTAAACTTCTCTGAGATCCCTGAGGATCTGCCAGACTTCGGCCTGGCTTCTTTGATGCACTACTTATGTAACATGCTGTTTAATAAGCTTGCTTCTAATGGTGATTAAATATTTTGCACAACTGACTATCATGTTTCAGAAAATTTTCAGAAAATTTCCAGCTTCTTGGTATTTAAAAAGTGCTAGACAGTTACTGAAAAACTTAAGGATACTGCAACTTTAAAAAAAATATGTTCACATTTGAATATGTTATATGTCTTTAAAGCCCTTTATCTGAGCAATCTGACACTGAAATCTTATTCCAAATCAAACAATAATCCACACCGTATATAGGATAAAGAGAATATTACACAGGGGGAGGCTTATATTCAGCTAGCTATTCAAAACAACATTATTTCTGTATGAGGCTAGTGCAACATTCCTCCCTTGTACATGTTCCGTACTTAGGTCAGTCAATATTTTCATACAAAGCTTTTAAAATTAACTGAGTTAGCTTCCTAATGCATCACCTGATACCACAAAATGTCTATCTGCAGTGAAATCATTCAAACAGGAGGGAAGAGGGGGTGTTGCTTTACCTGATCAATAACATTCATTTTAACCATCTCCCCGTGTGTAATATTCTCTGAAGAGTAAGAATGGAAATCCAGCCCTGGGGTTTCTTACCTTAAATCTAAGCAACCACTTAATGCATAAATGGAGCAAATAAAAGAGGTAAGGAAAAAAAAAGCATTGAAAGGTTAGTTGGAACTTCAGGATATGAAGAGAAAGGAAAAAGGAAAGAAAAAAGTTAAGCATTCAGCATTAACAAAATAATGTATCAGTAGATCATAGAAAGAGTGGTTAAAGCAGAATGTGTCATGAACGAAAGATTTTCAAGCTGAAACTTTCAGTATACATTGATCAAAGAGCCTCTAAATTAATACCTTAAAATTAAAGCTTAAATATTTAGTTAATATTTAAAAATAAAGTTTAAGCACTATTCAAGCTCTTAAAGTTCTAAAAAAGCACTGAAAACTTTTCCTTTAAGAATGGAATAAGAAATTTTGGCAAACTAACTTCAGAGATTAATTTATTTTAGCTTTCAAAGAACAGCCTTATTGATATCCTGGACTACTTTAAACTCTGTTACATGTATTAACACAATTACCTTTAGCTGAAACAGAATCCTCTGGAGTATTAATAAAATACATGTTATTTCCTAGAAAATGCTGGCAGTTAACTCTTAATCTGGTGCCCCAAAACACCCTTTGAGCAAAGGGCATGTCTTGTAAGACGGACAGCACTCTATATGTGTACTGCACCAAACCTCAGGATTTTCTGTATTATACATTAAGAGATTAACATTAATAGCAAAATATAATTTTAAGGCTTAGGTACTAGATTTTTGGCACTAAGTCATTCAATATCTTGCTGGCACAATACATCTTCCCATAACAAAATTGTTCAAATATTATTTCTTCTGCTTGAATATTTTTGTTTTCAGTTCAATTAATTTAAATATATTCTATTTCTTACACTCTTTGTAATGAACATTAAATATGGCAAAATCTCAGCGATGGAGCATCCAGAGCAACTACTTTCAGCCATCCATTTCAGCCATCACAGAGAGACCATAGTGGATCAAAGAAAACGTCATCTCATTTCCTAAAATAATCTCCCGATTTTAATTGAAATTTCCACAGATCTATCTTCCACAATGGTCCCTGCTTCAAACAGCTTCCCTAGCCGAACCAGGTCCACTCTTCTGGCCAGCTGCATTAAAGGGTTGATCAGCAGATACCCTTTCCTCTGCAGTATTGATTATTGATCACACTGCCCTAATGCAGCCACATACCCCATCAGTGGTCAGGCCTCGCACCTATTAAGATCCCACACTGCAGAGCACCTGCTCCCGAGGACAGCATCCACAGATGCTCACAGCTGCTGAACGGTACCAGCAGGTGCTCCAGTCGTTCTACTACTCCTCTCAACATGGCACCAGTATTTCTGGGCCTGGGATGCTCCCCATTTCTCCAGTATTTTTCTCTCCCACAGTATTCTCCAGTGCCATCATTTCCAGGAGTTGCAATGGAGGCTTCCTACAACAGCTCTTTTATTAACATTGTCCTAACCATGCATAATTGTGGGTCAGAGAGCTCCTGGGGAAGCTCTGTGGCAGAAAGGCAGACTAAGGACAGGGACTGCATACTGAGGCACTGCTATTTACCTAATGACACTTTCTGAACCCTCGTTTTAAGGGAAAATGACACAGCTAACCAATGCACAGCCATAAATAGGCAAATTTATAGCTCCAACCCCTTTTCTTTTAACAAGAGCTTTCACTCTCCAGCAGGAGATCTAGCAAACCATTCTGCAGTTACTGAGGCAGAACAGGACCAACTTGGTGACGAGCACAACTGGCCACCTTCACCCCGTCAGCAAGGGAATGGGCTTCCTTCCTCGCTGCAGGCAGAATTATCGTCACTGGAACAGATCTATGGAACTTGCATTAAAGATGGCATGATTTCAAGTTTGCTGGTTATCTTTTGGCTAAATATACAATACTTTCAATTGTTTAAATACAGTGCATTATAAATATCATTTGACAGATTTTCAAGCATATCACAAACATAACAAATGGATGCAGACATCCATTTGAGTCATCATCAGTTTGATGAATTATGTTCTTTTAAAAGAACATAATTCATTGCATCACAGTGGGTGCAATTCTGCTACATGGAGGTAAGTGGGATACCCAGTACAATGGTTTAGAGCCAGTGCTAAACAAATTTGTGCTGCAGAGCAATTAAAAACTATTCTTTAATGAGTTCTAAAATAATCTTAATAAACCAAAAGTGATCATTAAGATATTAGCAATAGTAATCCTACAGGCTAATATGCTCCATCCATTTCCAGAAGGAGTTCTGCTGACCTGCATAAATTTAGAATTTGTAAGAATTGGCAGTATATTTTAATAAAAAAAGGTTTATTTCCTGGTGAAAATAGTAGTTACAAATATGCTTTTTTAAATTATTATTTCAAGTCAAGACAGAAGAGTTATTTGGTTTTGTTTTTTTTTTAACCTGATTAGAGATACAAATTGAGGTTGACTCTTTTGCTAAGAAATGGGATAAAAGACTTTGTGTTAACTAACAGGATGTTGTAAAGACCTTGGATAAAATCACTCTGAAAAGTGTGGACTTTAGCAGGACTGGTTATGATTCAAACCTTAATATTTTGGTTAAATGATCTGTTGTCACTGCAATGATTATTCAAAGCCGATAGCTCAAATCGAACAACAATGCAGTTTGGTGTCAAGCAAAAGAAATTCTGGTGTATTTTGACTGGAAGAAGCATCTTACCCTACAGCTACTTAAGAGGTTTACAGATGTGTTAGTCTGTCATGAAAATTGACACTGCTTTATGTTATTTACCTTTCTTCTCCTGGAACTTTTATACTGTCAGTGTTCGCATTTCCGTATTTGTTTTCCTGGCAGCACAAGTTAACAATAAGCTCCCATCTGCTAAGGCTGTGTTCACACAGGACACGCTTTTAAGAAAGGCATTTCTGCACTTCTACTTTTGCACATTATATTACAACTGCTGTGTACACTGAGCTAATAGTTGCATACAACAGCAGCAGTTGCATCTCAATCTGCTCTTTCCTGTGAAATTTCTCCTTTTTTCTTAGCGTTAAAAGGCAAAATGAGCTGGCTTAGAACTTGGCAGGAAAATTCCGCCTCTGAACCCCATCTGGCACACAGGTTGTACAGAGCTCACTTTACAAAGCACATCACAGTACACAGCTATAATAGTCTCTGCCAAAAAGAAGAGAATGGGAGCAAATGACACTTGTTATGCAAACCCCTTCTTCAGGTGAGCTCCAAAGAAAGCCAGGGGCAATTACAGCTGGGTGATACTTTGTTGTAGAAAAGTCACAGTTGGTCATTAGCCTTTCATTATTTGGGGTATATCCTGTCAATTGATTCAAACAAAAATAGCAGCATGACAGAGATTTAGAAGCACCTTAGTGGCTGAAATCCATAGTCCCAAATATCCTCAGAAATAAGACTCAGTGGGTTTGCAAGGTTCAGAAACATGAAGGCAAGGGAAGGAGAAAGGGCAACCGGAAATTGGGCAGAATTTCTCTTAGGTGTATAGACACACTGGGAAGACAAACCATGCCAGGTAAGGAGAAACTGGTATATTATCATGAAAAACATCAAGGATTTTGAAAATACACAAAGACAATGTATTTGCAGTTTGGTTGTTTTAACAATATCACCTACCTTCACTCCATGTCCAATATCATCTAGAATTGTATAATCAATAGGTTTCCTGATGTAGCGAACTGGTCGCTCCAGGTTAGCTGGTGCAATGATTTTGTGAGTTCTTGAGGTGTTTTTGTTTGTAGTCAAGATACCAATTTCTCTTCTAGCAACTTTCTCTTTGTGAATGTCCACCGTCTACAAAAGACGCAGTGTATTTACTAACAGTGGCAGGCATTTGAATACAGAGTCAGTATAAAAAATTGATTCAGTTCCAACGTTTTGCAGATCTCAGTATACTGTGATAGACATATCACTACATGTATTTTTTACAGCATCTTTGTTCTGTTTACTGTTGAACTTGTCACCTCGAGACCCACACCTATAGCCGAGGGTTCTCTGTGTTTTCTATCACTCTTGCTCTTTACAATCCAGCAAAATTCTTTCTCCTGTCCATTCTTAGTCGTTTCCAGTGACACTGGTCTATATCATTTCTTTAACTCCTTTACCTCTTTTCTAATTTTACAATTGCTCTCTAAGCTCCTCTTTGAAAGTGTCCAACTAGATGAAGCATAAGGGTTATCTTCCTAATATTTAGGACCTGCAAAACAAACCATACACATGTTTTTAATAGGTTGTAAAACAGTTTGCTAAACGAGGACTGGTAGTTTTATGAGAGAAAAAAAATTCACTCAGATTAATCAGATATTTCAGTCTATAAAAATAGCTCATCACGAAGTAATGATTGGATTGGAGAAAGTGCTCGGTACTAACTTAGTGGCTTTATTTTGCATTGAGTTAAGTTAAACTTAGTGTCTTCTCAAAGAGTAAGTAAAGCAACACTAAAAATCCCTCAGTTTAGCTTTTAGTGACCACCTCAGGAGAGCATCTAGTGCAAGAAAAAAATAAAATAAAAAAACACCACTGTCTAAACATATACACTTGAATCTTGTTTGGGTAGAGAACTAGCGGGAAAAGAAAAAAGAGTTTTCAAAAAAGGTTATCCATCTTTGCCAGGAAAATTCTAAAAACCTAGGGTTTCTAGAAATTCCAAAATCCAAGGGATACTTGTGTCATCGAAACAAATAAAAAAAAATAATTTAGAAAAAAATGATTCTTTGCTCACAGTGTAACGTTCTTGCAGGAAATTTGCCAGAGTTATGAACAAAAGTTCTAGGTATTGGCTAAAAAAGAAAGAAAATACCATCGCCATCATTAGGATTTCTATTCATTCAGCTATTCATGATTTCTTATCATTTCAGTGACAATGGATGGCACTGGGAAGACTTTACACAATTAAGCAAGGGGGAGGCTGTGTAGTAACCAAAGACCAGTTATAAATGAGGATTGTTTTCCTAAGATAGTTTTATGCGTTTTAATTTTCTGCAAGCAGGGCCTGGGGCGGTGGGGTTGGTTGTTCACACTATTTTATCCTTTGATTTGTGCTACACACAGCAAAACAGGTGAAACAGAGCCTGTGTTGTCTTGTGCAATCATCAGGATCTTAGGAGACCAAAAAAAAAAAAAAAAATACAAGGATTTTTTCCTTCAAATTCTTTTCAGAAAGGAGGCTTTCAAAAAGACCAGAGGCATTATATGCAGATTTAAACTACTACCCACCAGTATTTCCCACCAACATATTTTCAATTTTTTGCGATTTTGTTAAACTTTGAACACCAAAAAGAACTTGTTCATGTGTTTTCCTACCACGTCCAGTGCAACCTGACTAGAACTGGAAAGTTTCTGAGGAAGTAGGGTAGCTATTTCTTAAAATGACACTACAGAAAAATAAACTACTCAAGGTCAAAAAAATGTTGGCAACGTTCACTCTGAAAACCTCTTATTTGTTGTGTAATGATCTGAAATTTATCAGCAGAGATTAAACAACCTGGGACATGTCTTCCACCACCCTCACCAAAAAACAAATGAACAAACAAAAAAAAAACCCACAAATTTGTCCAAGTAAATTTTGTCCAAATTTCTTTACAGAAATTCAGAGCTCATATAAGATTTATAGAAACCTGTACAGTATAACAGCTATTAGTTCAGCTAATAAAGTGCTGTCCAGTCAGTTTGGCCAATGTCTTTCCTGGAGGTCCCTGCAGATAACCAGGTCCCTGCCCCTTCCCTCCACGCAGTGGAGCACGTCAGTCTCTTCACCAATTTCAGGCTGTCGCTGCTTGGACAGGAAACATAGACACGCTCCACTGCTCACTACCAAAAAGGTGACACTGAATAACAGTGGCATTCAGTATTTTGTCTTTTGCCACATGCTTCTATCCCTTCCCTGCGCCCAATCCTTGCTCCACGGCATAGCAGAAGAGACGCTGTGGGAACAAGAGGCCGTCGTAGCGCGGAGAGCGTCTACAGCGTTCCCACCTCACCTGAGGAGGGCTCACGAAGCACAGACCCTTTTGGTAACCCTTCTTTGCACATGGGTGCAACAATCCAGGGGACAATCTCATCTATAATATCACTGAAGAGTTTAAACCCTGCTATTATCGCAAACTTCATCTATGATCTAGGCATGTCCCTAGAGAAGGGCAGGAACGTTACACTGACAACTGTATGTTCTTCATCTTACAGGCCCCTAGTGCAGTTTGCTGAACTGTTGAACAGTCCCAGCTACAACGTCCAAAATACTACAGAACATTTCAAATATACTGAAACATTAAAATCTCATAGGTCTTAATGTGGCCATTCAAAAATGCCTCAATTCTTATATATCATCTACAATCCAGAAAGAAAGTAATTAGTGCAGTGCTAGCAAGATTATTTCTTTTCTCCCCTAAAGTTCAAGTGCTTGACTTCTCAACCCTAACCGTACTTTCAGCATTTTATTATTCAATTATCTAAAGATATAATGTGACGGCAGATATTCAATGCACATATCATTGTAGTGATGGTATCTTGGCACTGTGCAGACTTGTTTCCATGAATGAAAAAGGGGATTTTAATTATTAATAAGAGCTACGAGTACATCTGGTTCCCCTAAGGAATAGGGCGATCAGTGCGGCATGCTCAGTCATAAACAATGAAATGCATAAAAACTAATTAAAAGCTGAAGCTCACATAACGGGAATTTTGTTGCAGGACAATTCAGAACTGCTTTTTTTATCCTTCGTATCTATGGAAGGACTGAAGGTGGTACAATGGCACTAAATGCTCCCCAGTGCTACTGGAAAGCATTTTGCTGGCAGGTTTTCCAAAAATTTCACTATCCAGTTTAGCAGACTACTGGAGTCCTAAGACATCTATAAAACAGTAAAGTAACAATGAGGTATTTGATTACCAGAGAAAGGAGCAAAGATTAACCTACTACTACAGAAAATGAAAATATTTATCCTTAACACTCATTTAATTATTATAATAAGGTAATAATTGCCTCCGGCACTGACATTACTGTCTTTTGCAAGACAGAATATTTGCAACAGCGAGTGTTCAGGAACTTAGAAACCTCTCTGGAGATAATATAACTATTTTTAAAACATCCCATTCAAAAACTATGTATATTAAGTTTGGGGAGTTACAACTTGACTAACAAAACATCTGGCTTGGAACATCTGGAAGGAAAAGCAGGTGGGATGTATTTTGCTCTTCTATAACTTAAATCACTGTTCTGTAATAAGATATTTTGGATTACTGCCAGTATTATTATGCAATTTTCCCCATAGCTCCATTAACAGGTGTCAAAAGCACTTAACTGACAGATAGCACACAGTTTGTTAGAGAACATGCTCATTTTTGATGTGCTTTCTGAAATGCCTACAATAAGGCTGGGCTAACTTGGGCGAGGGAGGGAAATCACTTTATTTTTCTCCATTAGCAATCTTCTGGGCTATTCTGAACTGTCAAACTTCCACACTGAATTCAATAAAGGCAGCCTCAATTTTTGTAAAGATTAAAAATAGTGAATGCTTTAAATCATTTTGGGGGCTCCAAAATTAAGACTATTTACTGCTTCACTTAATAGTCCCTGGACTTGAAGTTTTGAGAAATATCCTCTTCTAGATGTAAGTGACACTCTTCAGAGTATTAAGCTAACAATTGCAAAGTCCAATCTGTAGTGAAACTGCAGAAATAAAACTCTCCAGAAGCCTTTCTCAGAGCTTTTCACTTTACAATTTATTGTCTGTGTGTTAGCCTCGGCTTTTAAAATACAGTCAAAAAAATCTTAGGAGATAAGGCTGCTTAAATACAGTGTTGCCAGTTGTTGTTTTTTTAAATCTAATTTGTTGTATATATTTCTAACGAATTCAAAAGTTACCTTGACAACCAGATTAAGTAGCTGTCCAAATTTACCATCTTATGTTAATCAAATGTGCTTTAATTCAAATTGTGTGCGAGAAAGAGATTGTAATGTTTGATAAGAACTGGATGAAGCACATTTCTCCCTCATGCAATGCCACTAACAATAATTCATCTACATTTGAACTCTGCAATGGTTGCATATATATATTTTAATAGCAGTGGACAGTTTTCAGGTTACCTTGTTTGCTGAGATTATTTTGTAACTAAACCTGACAAAAAGAATTGCTCATCACAGAAATATTGAAACCTGAAAATCTGCCAGATAGATTTAAGGAATTTGGACACAATATTAAGATTCCACAGCATTTGCTGACTTGAAACAAGTAATGCAAATGCTTTAGAAAGTATGAATATTTATACAAATGATCCATAACTTGCAGCCAAATATGAAACAATACATTCCATCTCATTCTGAGCAAAGCTCAAGAAGGCAAATAAGAGATTCATCAGCTTTCAGAGCAAATCAAAGTAGTTTTGAATTTTAAACTAAAAGAATTTAATCACTTGTATAAAAATAATTTCAATAGTAGTGATTTACTTATTCAGGACCTATGTATAATCTGAAAAAATATACATAATTATCAACTTGCTTTTCAGTTCTTTGATTAAGTTGGCATATAGAAAGAAACTTAAAAAGTGATATAATTTGGCATTCTCTCAATGAAGAGAAAACCCAAATATTTTATCTTCTAAAGTTAATCAAGCCTCTTCAAGACAGAGCTGTATTTGAACAAAAAAGGCACCTTTGAAAAACTACGAGCCAAGTGATTTTGCTCCTTTCTTTGGAGAATACATGGAAACCTAGAACTTCAACTCAAAATTAAAAGCAGGATTACACATCCAGATGTCATAATTTGCTCTAGTGTTTTCTACACTTAAATATCAATACTTACTGTACAAAGTATTAATGCACTAGAGCACAGTCAAACCTGAGCACTTATGAGTCTGTTACCTGTTCTAACCGCTGAAGCCTTTTCAAGACAGATCAGCTGACGAACAACAAAAAACACCCTCCTAGCAATATGAAAGGATTTTTTTTTTTTGATCAGAAACACTTTGAGCTCTGTTTTGTTGTACAATTTCAGCATGTGAATTCTGGCCGAAATATGTCTCTTTAGTATTGGGCACTGGTAATTTATGGTCCATATTGCCTATGTACCACCAATCCTGCCTATGTAGCAAAGCCAGAACTCATCTCAATTTGCATAAAACTCATTCTCAGAAAGAAAAAGATAAGAATTCCATGACATTTCTCCTAAAAGCTGATTTATACAAGCTGTGTGACAAAACAAATTGTTTGCACCTATAAAATGCAGAATCTGGTGAAGTCTGAAGCCTGAATTAAAATATTTTTACTTAATATATTGTCTTTCACATCAGGCACTCAAATAATTGAAGCACTTATCAACTAGCCCTAGCCTGCCTGCCAAGAAGCTTGGATGTCTGTGTGTGTGCCCATGTGTGTAGAGGTGTGTATTTATGTGTATATTTGTGTGTGTATATATGTACATAGAGCATATAGATAGTAAAGCGGGTATAAAATTTGTGGCTTTGAGGGGGGAAAAAAACGCTTGTCCCTAGATTAAGCAGCAGCATGCAGTGGAAGAAATATTCTTGGCCAGTTGCACGAGATGCCTGAGCCAATCTACAGCACAGTACTATCATAAAGAAAACTCCCCTCTTCCCACCCACTCTCCCTTCCATCTGCCCTGGAATCCACCTGACGCCTCAGGGAGTCAGTTCAACTCATTAGCCTGAAGTTAAGTTATTCCCTTCCTTTGCTGGGCTAGATCACTGCCAGCTCTGCAGTCTTTCAGTACCAGCAAGCTGACAGATGAGATCGACTCAATTTACAGAAACAACTTCAACTTCCGGGACATTGTAAGAATGATCATTCAGGAATCAGGAAAAAAACCCTCTGAACTGGAGAATACGTAACCATAAAGAACATGGCAGTCAAGTAAAACAGGGAATGCTAGAGAGGACATACCCACGAAGCCTCTTCGACTCATTTATTAAGATATACCATTCTACTTGATTTTATTACCTTCTGTCCTGTTCTATTGCTGCATCCTCTTTCATAGTGCTGTGTCATTCTCGGAAACCATTCATTCTTCTCCCCCCTTCCAGCTCTACATACTGTAAAACTACCTACTTATTTCATAACTTACCCTGCTCCCACTTTCAAATACCTTTCTGAATATCACATTATTCTTTTCTTAATTTGAGACCAAGAAACTTTATTAGACTTCTACTAGCCAAGAACGAATTGCTCAAAACAGGTCACAAAATGGACTGCTAGAAATGCTCAGTAATTAAGCCAACTACTTCTCCAGTAAGTAAAAGAAAATAATAATAATTAAAAAAAAAAGCAGGATGTGCTGTTTCATTGCTCTTATTTTCTCCCTTTAATCCATCATTGGCATTTAAGCCTCCAATAAATCTATTCTTTGTCTTCACCACCTCCTGGCAGTCAGAACCCTCATCAGTGTAATGGCAGGACAATATAAGTAGTTTAGTTTACTGCTGCTCAGAAAAACTGCAAACCACAGCAACTTTGCAGCATCATTTCCCCTTCTGTCCATGTCATTGCAAAGAGCACCTTGAGAAAAGCCAGAAACAAAGTATTTTTGCCATCTCTGCTTTTGTCATCACATGCCAGTATTACTGCAACAGGCAAAGTAAAGAGATGACAAGTACATTTTTCCACTGTCCATTTCATACTTCTTCCTTTTATTTTTAAGCGCCTGCAGCCATTTAATAGCAAGCACAGGAAGCCACTAATAGATTAGCTAATCTGCCCTTCGGTGTAAAATACTCTGAATTTTGCTGTGCTTTTCACTACATAGACAAAACGGACCCACCAAACAATAAATAGGCCAAGATCACACTCAATCTCTTATCCTATGTAAAATGCTCATATTAACACAAATACCATAAAATCACAAGATGAGACTCATCCTAGATTTAAAATGAGAAGCAATATATCACTCTGCGTTAAGGTCAGCTATGTTTGCTCATTCCCAAAATATCAGGTAAGCCTAATCCAGAAGGATTTTTACACTTGAGGTACAATTTCAAGAATAAATTGGAGGGGAAAAAAAAAAAAAAAAGGGAAAAAAAATCTCACTTGTGAAATGTGGTTGATTGAAGACTCCATGCGCCGAAGCTGGGATGCCTGGATATCCAGCATTTGGAGAACATTGTTGGCCAAAGTGTTGATCAGATAGGCTACGCTTGCTAAAGACTGGGTTGTGTAGGCTTTGGTTTCTTCTAGGGCTCGCTGTTTATCTGCTGACTAGAAACAGAAATAAACATTTATTTAGTAAAGCCTCTCAGGTAAATATTTTCCCAATTAACTCTTTTTGACTGTCTTTAATATTTCCAGATGTCAAACTAATTCTACATTAAAATTACCACTTTTCTTCCTTTGTATTTCTTCATCACACAAAGACACTACTTAGGACATTAACATTTCCTGTATTTTATAAAATAAAGCAATTACGCATGCTAATCACTTCCAGAAATACTTAAAAATGCGACATTTTACCCTGTATTTTAGCAGTAAACTTCAAAAGTACTCTGAAATACTTAACACTTCTTATGATTTTATACTCATGATACAGTAAGACACAAAATGTTCCTATCACAGAATTAAGGCTTCTTTCCAACTATGTGCTTGAATGAGACCTCCTAAGTGTTTGCAATGATCTGTCAAATACCATACTCTTCAACTCTCCAAATTATTTAAACCTCATTATTGCCACGAATGGCCATTAAAAATGGAAGTACTTTGTCACAATGAATGAACTATAATTACTACTCTAAGTATTAAAATGTGAGCGGAATAATTTTTAAAAAGAACAAGTCCATGCTGCATTTTCAAACATACTTAGTGCTTCCCACCCTGTCAATGATGTCTTTTATGAAGAATTAGTATGGTCTGCACCAGAGAACCTAAAAATATTCAGACTATCAAGGCTAACAGAAGTTAGAATATATTTTAAAAAACATTAGAATTAATAAGCCAAAAGTTAAATCTACAGGGTTTCCCGTAGAACAGTAGTTAACAGGACTAAAACCTAATTTAGTATAAATAATACAGTTTAAAGCATTGGTAAAATATACAGCTGCTTGGCCTCCAGTTCTTCAGGCTTTGGAGAACACTGCATTTCAAGGTGGGGATGCTCAACAGTCTGATCACACAGTTCCTCAAGCGACAGCTGACAGGGGCAGTCTCTACTCCCACCTACAATTACACTAGCAAACTTTGTAATTTCCTTTCTTCTGGATGTGATTCACACAGGCTGGGTATCAAGATATAAGAAGCCTGTTCTTTCAGTAGAGGGGGAAAGTTCCACATTTTTCAGCAAAAGTCAAGCCTTTGAACCATTTGGCTATATGTATTTTAGGAAAACGCTAAAAGCAAGTGTATCTTTACTTCAGGAAAATCATTCTTATAGCTCAAGATACTTCCTGAGTCTCTGCACTGAGAGCCTTAAGAGCAAAGTTGGTAGCCTTCAACAAAACATCCATGTCAACACCGATACAGAACTGCAATTCAAAATCCCATATCGAAGACACTGAATTTTTTTTTGTTCCTGGCAGCCTCCCGTGTCCATTCACCATGAGGTTTTCCCCGCTGACCCCGCTAGCTTCCCCTCTTCTTGCAGGCCAGACTGGCTTCACTTCCTATTCGGCTCCCATCCGTAGGGCTACAGAGCTCTGTGCCTCCACTTCCACACGGCTGGCTTCCAAATGCAGCAAAACTCTCCCCTCTCCCTGCTCGTAAGCCCAGCTCGGTGTGCAAGCACCGCTGCCGCCCGCATGCGCAGAGGACACGTTCATAGCGAGGTGCTTTCCAGAGAGCAAGAATAAAAATGACCAGAAGCTCGGCACTTTTGCTCTGCAGCTGCTGACCAAGTCTTTTTATAGAAGCAGAAAGTGCTGATTTACATGAGCACAGGGTACATCCAGAAGAGCTGAGCAGAAGCTGACATGATTTTGTCATTAACAGCCAGTGTTTGAGAACAAAAGGAAGACACTAAGTCATTTTAAAAATTATGAACTTCTGCTCTGACCTTACTGTTTAAAGAAGCACAAATATGGATCTACGCTGAGAGCCAGTCCTTCTGCTGACGGAGCCTAGAGACTGAACTGAACTCACACCCATTTACACCAATTCCAACCAAAAGGGAACCAACTTCTCAGTGTGCAAACAGAGAAGAGCTCAGTTCTGACTGAATGCCCCTGTTTGTGTGGAGTTAGAATAGCGGACGCCAATTCCAATTCAGCTTGGAGTGATATGATGTGTTTAATAGTAAACATCTAACTTTTTTTTTTTTAAAGCAAATTTTCAGAGAGAATCATAGAATCATAGAATGCTTAAGGTTGGAAGGGACCTCTCGAGGTCATCTAGTCCAACCCCCCTGCACACGCAGGGTCACCTAGAGCACGTGGCACAGCACTGCATCCAAGCGGGTTTGAAGATCTCCAGAGAAGGAGACTCCGCAACCTCTCTGGGCAGCCTGTTCCAGTGCTCTGTCACCCTCACTGTTAAGAAATTTTTCCTTAAGTTCCCATGGAACTTTTGATGCTTCAGTTTCTTCCTGTTTCCTCTAGTTTTGTCAGTGGCCATCAGTGAAAAGAGGCCAGCACCATCCTCCTCACTCCCTTCCTTGAGGTACTTATATACACTGATTAGATCCCCTCTCAGCCTTCTCTTCTCCAGGCTGAACAGGCCCAGCTCCCTCAGCCTCTCCTCATAGGGCAGATGTTCCAGGCCCCTGATCATCCTTGTGGCCCTGCGCTGGACTCTCTCCAGAAGCTCCACATCCCTCTTATACTGTGGAGCCCAGAACTGGACACAATACTCCAGATGCGGCCTCACCAGGGCTGAGTAGAGGGGCAGGATCACCTCCCTCGACCTGCTAGAGATGCTCTTCTTAACGCACCCCAGGATCCCATTGGCCTTCTTGGCTGCGAGGGCACACTGCTGCCTCATGGTCAACTTGTCCTCCACCATGACGCCCAGGTCCTTCTCTGCAGAGCTGCTCTCCAGAAGGTCAGTCTTATGACATTATCATACACCCCCGTGTACGATACACCCCTGTTCCCGACTTGTCCTACTGAAGGATGTCAAATCGTATTGCTAGCAACTGCTGCCATGCTCAAAGAGACAGAACGTCAAACTTAAGTATAACCTCAGTAGAGTAAGACTTGACACACTGTGATTCTGATTCATGACAGGTACAGGATTTAAACAAAGTCTAACGTTAAATTAACCAAAACGGTTCATAGCTGACCCTAAGGCAGGCAAAAAGTTATTTCAGTATCTGCACCTAAAAAAACCCCTGCTAGTTAAGGATAACAATTCCAGCTGGGCCCTAACCTGATAACCTTGCTACAGTAGTTCCAGCAATCTAAGCAATACTGTTTCTGCACAAAGTACTGAAAACAAAAGAAACAGTCTGCTGCTGAGCCTGCTGCAATAAAACGAAGACTCCTCACTGTGAAGGCCTAAGGATATCAAGCGCATACTGTGAAGCCCTTTGGTTCTCAGACATTTTGCAGTCAGCATGATCACAATCCCACAACAACTATGTTTTCTGTGCTCTGACCTGAATTAACCTTCCATGAAACAGACCACCCTTTTAAAGTTTTAAATATTTTGTTTAGCACTCATGCACATACATTTTTCCACATCAATGAAAAAAAAAATGAACATCATAATACAAATGCAAAGGTTAGTTAGCTGAAACTTAGTACTGCCTCCTAATTGAAGACTTACTTCAAATAATTCCAGAGCTAAGGGCATCTAAGTTGAGAAAGAATTTGTGTGTTTTATGATTTAAAATATTAAACTTTTAATTTAGTTTGTAGCACAGGCCAAACGTCTGGAGTCGATCTTTCATCTCAGGCTAATCACTATTGGGAGAAAGGAGTTTCAATCACCAATTTCAATTAACAGTTCCATGAACATTTTGCTTAGTGTTATTCATATAAATTTTACCTTCACAAGAGCTACAGTCTATGAGCTCTAGTAAAAAAAGTGATTTGGACTACTGAGGCTCCAAAACATGTTTTGGAGTGGTATCCTAAAACAGACCTCTTACCGTCAAGATTGCTAGCACCGCGTCCAGTAGTTTTCTATTAGACCTCTAGATTTGATTTCCTTGGTAGGGAAAATAATTATGTTCTAGAAAGTGGACACTGCAGTCTTGCCAGTCCTCCACTACCTCTCTTTTTCTTTTTTTTTTTCCCCACAAGACCTTTCTCCACGTTATTTGCTTCCCTTAAGACTTCCCATTAACTGTGTTAACAGTGCTGCTGCTTATCTATCTCGCTGTCTCCAGCTTGGACATATCAAACAGCATTAAGAAGGTACATGAGCGTCACAGCTGGATCATCTTCCTAGCCTTAAGGAGATGAAAGCATCTGGATCACTGACGCCTTTTGTGCTACGCTAGCCACTTCGCATGCAGCAGCTCAGCATCCACACTGCGAAGCTTTTCTCCCCACACACAAAGCACACAGCACATGCCCCACGCTGCGCTGCAAAGGCAGCATTTCTTTCTCCTGCTCTCAGCAGTAACCGAGAGCACCATTTTGACCTGAGCACAGAGAGCTCTGCTGCTGTCCGCCACACACGGGTGAGGGTGGCAGTGGCTACCCTGGGGAGAGGTGACCTGGGCTGCTGCAGGATGCGATATCCCACTTCTCTGAGCTGTGCCCTGCCCAGAGCTCTCCTGAAGGTTTCCAGCTTTTAGGAAGTACTCACTATATCAAAAAGCAAAGCAAGCAAACAAACAAACAAGGCAAAACAAAAACAACCCCCCCAAAATAAACTGCAGACTAAATGGAAATATTTCACATGATGGATACAGCCTGCGAGCCTTGAATTAAATCATAGAGACTACTCTGTTTGGAACTGGCACTTTCAGATAACATAAGGAAGTCAAAGCATTCATAAAATTCAGCTATCAATGCATGGACTTCAAAATCAGCCTGGAAATTCTTATATATATAGTGCTATGGTATGCGTTTACTTACAAAAACTGTAGGAGGGAAAAATGTATTAATAAATTCCACTTCTAAATACAAGTTCAAAGAAAGATGACGCTAAGTCTAAAACAACTCAGGAATGAAAATGCAAATATTCACTTAAAAAATATTTCTCTCTTTTTTTTTTTATTACATAGTAGAACCCAAAGTTGTGCAAAGTTCAGTATTTTTCAGGCAAGATATAGTGCCTGCGCAACACTTTTTTCTAGCCACACTGAAAACTCCATTTACAC